CACGTTACCAGGTTTCTTCATAAACAAAATACCATGAAGCCCTGTAACCTGCACGAGCACAAGCATCAGCCAGAACGGGTCCCTCTCCCAAATCCCTCTTTTAAATAAACAGGTTTAAATTTTGTTCAGTAGACGAGTTTCTATCACAACACCGTGCATTTAATTTTGTGCTTTCCAAAAGGCAAGCATACTACAGAAATAAAATTCCCTACCCGACAGGAGAGAAAAATTCAGTAAACATGTATTTGTCTCCCATTCCAGCAAAGGGATCCATGTTCATTGAAATTCTCATGACGGCTAAAGCCAGAACATCCTGCCTATAACTTCTTCTTCTTTGTCTGCTCCCCAGAGTCCAGTTTACGTTTCTTCGCGGAAGCTGGTTCGTCATCTTTTTCACCATCTTTAAATAAAAGACAAGAGTTAATAAAGTCAGCACAGCCAGTATTTTTGCCTTAAACACCACCCTCTTCTCAGTGGAACTGACTTCATCACATCTGAGATGCCTGGATAAAAGACACGTTAGCATTAACTGGCAACATCCTCATTTTTGGAATCCAGATAATATGCGGACAGAACAGGAATGATTGCTTGTTATTACTACTACAGAATGTTGAGGGTAAGTAAGAAGAGACTTTGTTATGCTGTACAGTACCTGTTCTAAAAAAATTACTTAAATAGGTAAGACAAAAAGGTGGAAAATGACATTTTAGAAGCAGTAAGTAATGCCAAGGTCAATTAACAGTTTATCTTTTTAGTCTTTGGATAAAGGCTAAGAGAAATCAGGGGGGCGAGGGCGGAGGAGAAAGCGTACAGAATGAATAGACCAAGACAGAGACACAAACACTGCCACTGGGGAAGGAACACCCAGAACCTAAAAAGAAGCAAGACAGAAAGAAACCTCTTCCTTTACAAAAGGTTTGCTGACAACTTTACTGGTGAACCAAAACATCGTGTTCTGAAAGCCCAGAATTTCTTCTCCTGGTTTTGTTTTCTTGGTTGTTACTGGCTATTCTCTTTCTCCAGCAAAAAATAATTCCTCCCTCCTGTCAAATACTTGCTAGATCACCACTACAGCTTGTTCCGTGATGAAAAGTGGACAGGAAGTATTTTCTTCAGCAATCTGTCACATGGATACACACCAACTGAACCCCGGGGTGTACCCAAAGCAGTGTGGCCAGCAGGGCGAGGGAGGAGATTCTGCCCCTCTGCTCCGCTCTGGAGCCCTCAGCACAGGACAGACAAGGACTTGTTGGAGTGGGACCAGAGGAGACCACAAGAATGATCCGAGGTCTGGAACCCCTCTGCTGTGAGGAAAGGCTGGGAGAGTTGGGGCTGTTCAGCCCGGAGAAGAGAAGGCTCTGGGGAGACCTTACAGCAGCCTTCAGTACCTGAAGGGGCCTACAAGAGAGCTGGAGAGGGACTTTTGACAAGGGCCTGCAGGGACAGGACAAGGGGCAATGGCTTTAAACTGAAAGAGGGTAGATTTGGACTGGATCTGAGCAAGGAATCCTTCACTGTGAGGGCGGTGAGGCCCCGGCACACGTTTCCCCGAGAAGCTGTGGCTGCCCTGTCCCTGGCAGTGCTCCAGGCCAGGCTGGACGGGGCTCTGAGCAGCCTGGTCTGGCGGA